CCACCAGCACGACTGCATCCCCTGGGGACCGTGGGGGCTGCACCCTTCGCCCCCAGCTGCGGAACTCCAGCATTTCCCCTTTGCACCCCACCAAGGCAAACCATCGCTCCTGTCCTCCAGGGAAATCCCGGGCTGTCCTGGCCAGCTTTTGCACAGCTGCATCAAAGTTCTGAAAAAGGACGGATGTGCTTTTTCCAGTGACTCATTCTCAGCCTCTCCTTCCTTTTTTTTTTTTTTAAAGGCACAACCTCAGCCTTGCACCCAGCAGAAGCCAAGTGCCTGCTCTTTGCCCCACCCAAGCACAGGGCCTGAGAACAGCCTCCTCCCTCCTCCCAAAAGCTGACAGTCGAGTGTAAGTTGCAGACTGAAAAAGGAAGCTGCCAAACTTTTAAGGCTGTTTTCATCAGCTTTTGCTTCACCCATCAGGCCAGCCTCAGCCACATCCCCGCTTCTGCACAGCCCCGTGTGCTGCCGGGAACCCCCCGCAGCCAGAGCCCGAGCAAAACCCACAGAAGGAGCTGAGAAGTCTCCAGAACTGGTTTCAACAACTTTTCAAGTAAGTGACTTCATTTTTTTCTTGCTTTCATGCATGTTTCGGGCAAAGACTTTAACGGAGAATGCTAAAAAAATGATCTGCTGCAAACAACTTTTCCCCACCAACCCACCCCTCTCTCTCCCAGGCAGGCACCATAACCACCAAGCACAGGACGGGTAACCCCTCCCCAAAATGGCATACTCCCCTTTGCCAGTTCCTCCTATTTTTGCTTTGCTGGTTGCCAGGCACAGTTAGGAAGCTGACAGGGCCTTGTTTATTAGGGCTGTTTGCTGGTATCTCTAATAACAGGGTTTTGAGCCCTATGCACGAGAAGAAGTTAGCAGGTTTAGTGTCTGGCTGCAGACGTGGTGTACCACAAAGCACGGCAGCCGGAGATGGAGGCCTGGCTCACTGTCACATGGCTGCAGTTTTTGGCTGGTCTGTCTTCTTTGCTGAGGGAGTTTTGCATATGGAAAACTGGGAAGATGCAGGAAGACATTAAGAGCTGCTTGTGTTTGAACTCGGCAATATCACAGCATGACTTTCAAGGGATTGCCACGGCTTAGACACAGCAGGGAACCGAAGCCAAATTTCTGTCCCTGTTCCCCTCCACTGCCCCACAGAGGAGGGGGGTAAAACAGGATTTGATGGGGCAGCAAGTGGACCAAAGCACAGTAGTAATTTAAAACACAGTGCATGAACAAGCCTTGTACAAGAGACCATAGGGATTAAGACACCTTTGTCTCCGCTGTACGAATGTCCCTGCAGCTGGGGCTGGCCTGAGGAAGCCTTTCTCCATGCACGGTGTCTGGGAGATGCCAGCATGGGGATAGATTTCAGGGCAGCCCTGCTGTGGGTCAGGGCTCCCCGGGAACCCCAGACGTGCACTGAAGCTGCCAGCACTGTGCAAGCTGCTAGGGATGGTTAGCTTGGTGCCCGAATCCTTCCTGTCCCCAGCAAACCCCAGTGACAGCAGTCCCCCTGAGGCCAGCGGTTTCATCACATGAGTAAGTGCTCCCAGAGCTAGCAAGGTGCTTGGGGCTTCCTGAGATGAGAGCCTGTGGGGATGCAGCACAGATGGAAAGTCAACTAAGAAATTAATTAAATGGAGCTTGCAAGTGGCATGGGGGAATGGGCATCACTGCAGAAGGCATGGATATGCTCCCCAAATATTTCCCTGTCCTTCCAAAAAAAAAAAAATCAGGGCATATGCTTTCCCTTACTTGGTCCTGAGTGCCTGCAGTCCACACAGCCCAGCCCTGTTGATAGGACAGGCACCCCAGTATAACCAGTGTTGCACTGGTGGAAGGGGCTGGGGGAAGCTGCATAGGCGAAGGGCAGTGAAGTGCATCTCTGGCACCAAGGCGTGCAGGTCAAGGGGCTCAATTTCAGGCCAGCAGTTAGAGGCTGAGCCAGGACTGCAGGCTAGGGCAGGTAGTACGGTTATGTCAACCACCTGTGGGAGAGAAGGAGATCATCCTGCCACACCTAATCCTAGCAAAAACTCCTAGGTAATTGCTGATCGGGCTCTATCGGCATTTGGTGTTTGTATCCTGGGTCATTGAGATAAGCTCTGCATTCCCATAAAATAACTTCTTTTGCTGGTAGCAACAGCCCCTGAGCATCCCCTCACCCCTGTCAGAGAAGGCTGCTCCTGCCTGGGCCTCCCATGCCACATTTCTCTGCCCCCAAACCTGCTGGGCCATCTTGCAGCACCTCTTGCTGCCTCCCTGACATACCTTTGCTTATTACTAAATATTAACTCATCAGGTCTAAAGAGGGAGGTAAAAGCCACGCACAGCACCTTCAAGGCAGCGCGGCACCACTGCGTGCACGTGCCCCATGCACCTGGGCTAGCCTGAGTCAGTGGCAGGGCTGGGGACACATCCAGTGCTGTGGTCCAGTTTTCCCAGTAACACGGCGTCCTCCTTCGTTGTAGGCTTGGGAGATCATCGAGTGCTTGGCAGCGACGCTGACAGTCTCTGCAGGAGCTGACTAAAACCAAAGAGAAGGAAAGACGACGGATGTGTAAATGACAGGGGCAGAAACAGCTGTCCTGTTGGTAATCTTCGCTGTAGAGATGCTTTTGGAGAGCTTAGTGGGAAACTGAAATGACTGAGGTTTCACACGTTGCTTAGGCTGAATCCCTCTTCGGCGCCTTTTAAAGTACCCCTGGTATCAGCAACCAGCTCCAGAGGCTGGGACGCCAGGTGGGAGGAAGGGACAGCAGTGAAGGTGGTGTACTCTTAGAGCAGCTCCTTGCACATCAGCAGGCCCAAGGCCATTTCACCCCCCATCAGCGTGTCCCTCGGTGCTGAGAGGTGCACAAGCACGGCCCCCCACTGCTGTACGTGCCTGCTCTTGCCCCCGGGACGAGATGGCCGCCCTCATCGCCGAGAATTTCCGCTTCCTCTCCTTGTTCTTCAAGAGCAAAGATGTGATGATCTTCAATGGTTTGGTGGCCCTGGGCACAGTAGGGAGTGAGGAGCTCTTCTCAGTCGTTGCCTTCAACTGTCCCTGCTCCCCTGCCCGCAACTACATCTACGGCCTGGCCGCCATCGGCGTCCCAGCTCTGGCTCTCTTCCTCATCGGTGTCATCTGGAACAACCATACCTGGAACCTAGTGGCCGAGTGCCACAAGCGTGGCACCAAGAACTTCTCTGCTGCTGCCACCTTCCTCCTCTTTGGCTCCATCATGGGCCGGGCAGCTGTAGCACCCGTCACCTGGTCAGTCATCTCACTGCTGCGTGGGGAGGCTTACATCTGTGCCCTCAGTGAGTTTGTCAGGCCGTCCTCCCTGGAGAAGTTCCCAGCTGAGTATGGGGCAGAGGTGCTGGCCAGATTCCCCTGTAAAGATGTGCCAACAAACCTCACCAAGTTCAGGGACGAGGTGACGCGGAGGCTGAGATATGAGTCCCAGGTAGGCATGCCAGGGAGAAAGCCACAGAGTGGGTAAGACTGCCTTACCATGTCCTAATGCAGCCTCTCTCTTCTCTCTCAGCTCTTTGGCTGGCTGCTCATCGGCATCGTGGCGGTCCTGGTTTTCCTCACCAAGTGCTTGAAGCACTGCTGTTCACCACTCAGCTACCGGCAGGAGGCTTACTGGGCCCAGTACCGCTCCAACGAGAACAAGCTCTTCCAACGCACGGCCGAGGTCCACTCCAGGATCCTGGCAGCCACGAACGTGAAGCAATTCTTCGGCTTCGTGGCGCTGGACAAGGAGGAGAAGGAGCTGGTGCAGGAGTTCCCACTGGAGGGCGTCCAGCCGAGCCCCCAGTGGAACGCCATCACAGGCGTCTACATCTACCGGGAGAACAAGGGCTTCCCCCTCTACAGCCGGCTTCACAAATGGGCCAAAGGGGTGGAAGGGAACGGGCCAAGCCCAGAAGGTCATGAAATGCTCTTTTTGGCTTCCTAAGACAGACAGGCACCGGCAGTGGTTCCCCAGATCGCCTGGCAGGCCTACCAGCATTGGTGCATGGCTGAGGGATTCACTGGGAATACTCCTCCCAGGAGGATTATTTCTCTCGGCAGGTAAACATCAACAGCCTCAAGGTACAGACTGATAAGCAATACACTGAGCTGGGGAACCCCTCCCTCGGAGACAACCATCTTGTTGCTGCTCCTAGAGACACAAGGGGAGCAAAGAACAGATGCACACCTTATCTCCAAGAATGTCAGTGAACCCTGCCATCTAATGCACCAGCAGAAGCCTTGGGGAGCAAGAGGTGGGCACAACATTTCTAATTGTGGCTCATGCCGTCCCACGTGGCTCCCTCATTGCAGGGTTAGCCCCAACCATCCCGCACACCCACTTGTTTTATTGACATCAGTATCTTCTTACGCACTTGTGTGGTGCCTGTTACACAGGCAGGTCTGGGAGCACTTTACAGCAGCGGGAAAGAGGGAAGCAGGAGGTAAATTCCTGTGGCAAGGGGGATGCAATAGCACCGCGGAAGGAATGGGCAGCAGCACACTGAATAACTGAGAGACTAAGGCAGGAGGAATCACCAGTATTCAGAAAAATACTCTGTAATTACCAAGTTGGAATTTGGGTAAGCCACCAAACTCCCTTTGTTCTTGCTGAAGTGCCTGGCAATCTCTAATGAGCCCAAATGGTCGTAACCATGAGTTTATAAATGCAGAAGATGGCACCATCAGCAGAATAGCTTTTGGGCAAGGTGGCAAGGTGGTGGCTGAGAGGAAGCAGAACCCCCAGTAAGCCACACCACTCATCGGATGAGAGTCCTGCTTGTTTGGGTTGTGAGTTGCAGCAAGACCTCAACCAGAATTAGTTTTACATATGTGTATATATATAGACATAGATGCGTAGTGTATACACTATGTAATTGTAGTTAGTTAGCTGTATTAATAGAGCATCTTTCTTTGAGGGAAAGGGGACGAGAAAATTGCCAGCCAAAAGACCACATTACATGCACCGATCTGCTGCACTGGGACTGCAGCTGTGGAGTGATGAGGGACAGTAGGAATGGAATGGCGAGAGCAGCCCTCTCCCTACCCTTCTACCACTGAATTTTCTTAAACTCTTTCCACTGCCTTAAATGGTCCCTGCAGAAGGTCTCTTTTTATGGACTTGACCATAGTCTGACAAAGCAAAGCCAGAAAGGTGTAAAATTACTGCCATCACCATGATACCGTGTTGACTATGGCTTCAATGCTGCTCTTCCAGCACTGGACAGTCCCTTTTCTCCTGGGGGTCAGCCCTACGTACCCAACACTGTTTCAAGAGTTGGCAGGACAATGAAGTTTGTTTTTCCTACTTGTACTGTTTCTTTATAGGTACAACTTCCTTTTATACTGTGCCGTTTACCAAAAAGCCTTAAGTTGTTCAAAAAATTACTCAAACCCACAGAACTCAGAGGAGCTGACACACAAGGAGATTTGAAATAAATTATTAAATTAGTTATTTTTCATTGCCTTATGAGTTGTTTTTTTTCAGAGGGGCACAAAAGGCATAATTTAACATTCTCTTTGAACTCAAGGACTGGGAACTTACTTTTTCTTTCTATTCAGGTCCTCTCCTATCCAAATGACCCCATAACGTGAAATTTTAAAGTATTACCACATATTACAAGTTAGTAATACTGCTTTTTAGTTATTCTTGCAGTGAGTAGCACAAATCTTGTACATGAGCATACCAATTGCAGCAAATGATAGAAAACGTATTTAGAAACCTTTTTACAAATATGTCCCCTTGCAAGAAAGGGCTGGAGGGTATTCCTCCACATAAAGAGGCTGGAACAACACTTAATGGGTGAGGCATCCCAGGATCCCTGTTCAGCTTCTCTACAGATTTGCCTTGCATTTGCGGGATGGCTTGGCTCCCAGCCTCACCATCAGCTAATCTGCAGGAACGATCAGATGCAAGTTAAATGAAATTGCATTAACTTGAGATGAAAAAGAGTTCATTTGCATTTCTTCTCATTGGCCCTTGAGTGTGAACATGCAGACACACATGCCACCCCCACACGCAGGTCACCAGGTGCAAGGTAACTTGCTGAAACAAAGCAGTGCTCCTCTTACTTCCTTTACTTCCCCTTCCTTCCTTCTTGATAGTCCTAGTTGTTCCTTTGAACCAACTCCACTCCAGTTCCTTCTCCTCCCCTTCCCTCCTTTGAAGAAAAGGGACAAGACACGTAATGCTTGGGAATGGATTTGTTTATCCTAAGAATAAACCATAAGCACAAACCAGCTTTTGCTCTGTTTACCTCTCTTCTCCATTAACTCCAGCCACTTTCCATGTGCTGGGATGGGCTAGGGCCTTGTCCAACTTGTCTGTTTTCCCTCCCTCTGGTTGGAGAGGCATGTTTGAGTAGACAGCCAACAGTGAGGGGTGGAAGAAGCCACCACACTCAGAAATACTTATTTCAATTGTAGGGATTATTTTTTTCCCTCCTCTCCTCTGCCACCCTGAGCATGGCCTCTGCTAAGACAGCCCTGGGCTTTTGGCCCTCGTAGCCTATCAGCACCCTCATGAATATCCCTGCTGTCCCCATCGCTCATCCTCCCCCAGTGACAACGCTAAGGTGAGGGATGTTAACCCACGTGGCTTTACACACCAGCACAAGCAACCAGGCTAGGCTTCTCACCGGAACACCAAGAGGCAAATCGAGCTGCCCGTCTTCATGGCATGCCGGATCATGCAGGCTGCAAGCTCACACTCTCTCTGGTTTTTTTTCCAGAGGCCAAAACCAACGGCATCACAGAGCAGCCTACAGGTTGCCAGTTAGGGCACACTTCCCAGCAGCAAGATGGGTTCAAACCGGGCTCCTCCAGTATGGAGAATTACACACAGGTCTCTCATTTTCCCTGCTGACTACTGTGGAGACTATAATAGCCCCAGCAGTCAAGAAGAAACAATACCTCAAAGGGATCTTGGTTTCTATTGCAATGCTTATTTACGTATTCTATTATGTAACTAATTAATCCAAAAGAAAAAACCACCATCATTGCAGCTGTATTCTTAAAAAAACCAGCAGCTGCTACTGGATGTTGCAAACAGCCGCCTCCTCTAGAAAAGCATTAAGAAAAATCTGAGTACAGTACCCTGCTCTCCCTGGGGACAAGAAGTGAAATGACTTGTTTCTGGATCCCAACGGACTTGGGAATGAATTAAAAGCTGAATCATTCAGCCTTGCCAACACTGGGCATTCACAGTGGCAGAAGAGCTGGGTCCTGTAGAGCTCAGGTTTTGAGTCCAGAGTACCTACAATGAGTAAGACCCTTCAAGTTTGGTATTTCAAAGCTGGGCAACCATTCACTAGTGTCTGCACTGGATAATCACACCTGTTGCATACCCTGCTTTTCCCCTTGCCTTCAGTTCTTCATCTGTAAACCATACGGATGATCACACCCACCTTACTGGAGAGTTACAAGAATACGGATCATAAGGCACTGACACCAGTGATAGAGCCTACGGAAGTACCCAAGATACTTGGCTTTTTCCAAGTAGGTTAGATTGGGATGACTATTTTTCAGCACAGAAAAAACAATTTTTTCTTTGACTTCACTGATTTCTCTTAAGAGACAACAACTACTGAAAATCACTATTTTTTCTGTCATCAATCCCTGGCAACTTGTTATGACAGATGGTTGCAATCAGGGGATCCATCACAACTGGATGCTGTGGGCTTTAAAGGCATATGCCCTTTCAGCTGAAGAGAACAAGAGCATCTTGGGCTGCATTAGGATGATCATTACCAGCAGGTTGAGGGAGGTCATCCTTCCCCTCTGCTCTGCAGTGGTGAGACATCTGGGGTGATGTGTCAAGTACTGGGCTCCCCAGTACAGGAGAGATATTGCCTTACTGGAGTGAGCCCCGCAGAGGGACAGGAAAATGACCGTGGGACTAGAGTATGTATCATACAAGGAGAGGCTGAGAGCTGCAGCTGCTCAGCCTGAGGGGAAAGCTCAAGGTGGATCTTATGCACATGTATAAATATCTGACACAAGGATGCAAAATAAGTAGAACCAGACTATTCTTAGTGCTGCTCAGTGACAGGACAAGAAGAAATGGGCACAAATCGAAAAATAAGAAATCCCAATTTAAATGTAAGAAAACACTTTTTTTACTGGGAACATAGTCGAACACTGGAACAAGTTGCCCAGAGAAGTTGTGGAGTCTCCATCCTTGGGAGAAATCAAAACCAAACTGGACATGGTCCTGAGCAACCTAGTCTAGCTGACCTGTGTTTTGAACCAGATGATCTCCAGAGGTCCCTTCCAACTTCAGCTATGCTGCAATTCTATGCTGCTCTGCCAATCTCTAGGAGCACAAAGGCACTTGACATAAATCTTTCAAAGTGTTACTTCAACCAAAAGGCAAGAATCTTCTCTGCCATCTTGACAGAGAGAAATCAATTTATAACACATCACTGTACTTAAAAATAGTGGGTCATAACTGCACCATTTCCGCAGGAAAGTAGAACAGGTAAGGCTGATGGTTGTATTGATTATAAAACAAGTCTGTATTTAAAAATGTGTCTTCAAAGTCATCAATAGATTAGGATTATTTGTAACACCTGGACAAAGCTGCAAACATTTATCAAATATTTTCCTTTGATTGTTTGTTCTTTCCAGTTCAGTTTGGTCATAGACCAATAGTCTCCAGAAACTCACTGTCCATGGACACTCATGACAGAACTCCACACCCCTCAGTTCCCACACTGCATGGAGAGCTGAGTCTCTCTGCTTTCCCTTGTGCCGTACTTAGGTGTCCGCAAGGGAACTCTTGGTCTCCACGTACTCAAGTGCTGCTCTTTTAACAGCCAGGACACTTTCTGTTGTACCAAATTTCTTTTCATAATCCAGGTAGCGTTTAAAGAAGAATTTCATCTTCTTTGGCGCCAAGTTCAGGTGTATGACCCTCTCAAAGATGTCCCTGCAAGAAACCAAAGT